TGTCGCAAGCCGTAAGTGGTATCCGGACATATGAATTTAAATTTTTCCATGCAAGCGGGGACATTCCCCAAAAGTTCCAGCCTCCTAGGTTTTGTAGTTCTCAAGTTGAAAGTGCGGAAAAAAACGCACTCGAAGGCATAAAAAGCTTATCAGTGCAATCAACAGCACCAATATTTGGCATTGATATTTGTTAGTGAGCATTATTATTTATCTAATAACACCAATATTTAGCACTGATTTATTACGTAATACCAATATTTAAAAAAGCATTAATATTTATCAGTCAGTTCCAGCCGCTCATCAGAGCAACCACCAATAAAACTCGGCTTGTTAGGGTTGGCTAGGGAAAGGGGAGGGGGAGGGTGTGCACTAGGTTTTGCAAGTTGTGAAGAACAAGGAACAGGGTTATTTACTGGAAGGACTCTGATAAGAGGTACGAGTTCGAAAGAGGGACGAGCTTATAGAAGGAAGGGGAAGAAAGTACTTCCACGTTTTTTATGCTCAATTATAAAACTTAATGGAACGTTGTACTGATGAAGTGGGGTGCTGTGCTAATGATTCCCACCCCATTTTGCACCAATTCTGCCGTCTGTATTTACAGCTCAGGGATGAAACACAGAAAGGTTATCAAGTCACTGCACACACAGGCTTGCTTATTTGGGAGATCTAAATGGCACTTCCAGTGTTTTCATTAATTATAAAAATTCGATTGTATGCCTCTCCACAGTGGGCCAGCAACTAAAGTCAAACAAACCGCATATGTTAACACATAGAAGATTTCAGGCCCCTATCTTCTTCTAGTTTCCTAGCCAGAAATATTCACTGCTTGTATCTTTAAAATTTCTGGAACACTTAGTACTAAGTGGAAGCTGGCTGCTCAAGTTTGATACTGCCATGTTCTAAGATTTTGCTTCAGGAACCGATCAGTACTGAGCAAATTCATCTACCCCGATGACGCAGGAATTAAGCATCTAGTTAGTATGTTATTCTCATGAAAATTGCCTTCTCATAACTACATAGAATAACTACTCATACCATATGTTACTTTGCTTCACACTCTTATTGCTCTCATGCTGTTGCATTTTTCCACTCTCTCTCTCTTTTTCTTTCACATCTCCGTCTTGCAAAATAGTTACATGTCCTTTCAATACATAGCGGGTAGAAGGCTGTACTGACGATTCCCGCTCCTACGCGCATGCATAGTCCGATCTGTGTTTACAGCTAAGGGATATCGCGACCCTAATTGTTATTTTATTAGACTAGTGTGTGCCCTGTTTGTAGATGTGTGTGCAACACATCGCGTCCTATATACATGTTTATTATACATAGTAAAGTAAAAAGATAAGGCATCAAACGTAGGTGAGGCTCTGGGAAGCCGAAGCTCCCCAGAACAGGAATATTAGTATACAGCAGTAAGTCGTAGCTGAAGATCGGTAGTGGAGATGCCGGCGATGGGGAGGAGTGCTTTTATACCCCAGGGGACAAAAACCGAAAGTTCAATGAGGGTAGGGTGGTCAAATTTTGAACCAGGGACAGGGGTACTGCGTCATAATAACGCAGTTGGTCTTTAATCTGTTTTTAGCAGAAACCATTAATCATTATTTGATATATTACGCGATAGGGATAAAACACAGAGACTGCATCGTAAAATGTCTTTTTTTGCATGACACCTAAGTTGAATCTTTCTACTCCACTATTTAAATTCAGACTCAGGTAGCGGAAAACGTAATACTGGGTTGCTTGTCTAGACAAAATTCTAGGTGTAGCGCTGAAAAAAATTTACTAACTTCCTCTTGAGCACTAAGTTTCAGGTTGGGCAGAAAAACCCATGCTCCCCTCCCCCCTCCATAGATTCCACCTATCTTCGATTCCTACTTCCAGCCACTGTCTTAGCCCTTCCCCAACCAGTAACTCTACCTCCTTCCCTTCGTTACAACCTACGAAAGCTAAGCTGTAACTCACCCTTTTCACTTCGTCCCCCCTCCCCCCCTCCCCCTTCCTAGGCCTACTTCTTATCCCAATCTTCGCAATTCGTCTCAAAACTCGCGGGTCGAATTTTAGTAATCCCCGCTGCATTTTAGTACCCGTCATTCCCGAGTTCTGGGCCAAGTTACCCGTACCTTTTCTGTTTCTCGGTGGCAAAGCCGGGCATTTGTTTTATGTTCACTTTATTCGCGTATCGTTTCGAATTTGTAACTTTTCGGCGTGCTTTTTCTCGCCAGCATTGTAGGAAAGCGTTCGTTGCAGCAGTTGCTGCACAACTGCTGCAGCAGTTGTGCAGTTTTTTGCAGTTGTTTGGCCCCGGTGAATGCAGTGGAGAGAAGTGTGCATGGATGCTGGCGCACTGTTCGATGCCTTCCTGGCTGCTACCAGTTTCAGCAGTATTCAGCAACTGTTCGCGCAGCTTTGTGCACTGTTGGACGTGGATCCGCTCGATAGCTTCAACGTTTTCTGCAGGTAATTTTACCCATCGCGCATCTGCGCTTCTGCGTTTCAGGTAGCATCAAAAAAAGGGGGGGGGGCGGGTCTTTTTCGCTTTGAAGTGGGAAGTAAAAGAAAGAAAAAAGTACAAGCAATAAAGAAAATAAAAGCAAAAAAAAGCAAGCGGAAAACCCGCCATAAATAGGGGACGTCCCCCACTCATAAAGCTGATGCTTAGGCGAAGAAAGCTGAAAGCAAATAAGGTGAAACTGATGCCGCTCCGCACGTACAGTGACCTTTATTGTCCAACACTGCACTGCTGCTTGTAACTTTTGAGCGATAAGCAAAGCACAATGAATAAAAAAAAAATTCTCGCATGAAAAGTGCAGAGAATAGCTCCCCTCATAATATGCTGATAATAATGATAATAATCGTAATAACATTAATAGTAACAATATCAATAACGACAACAATAATAACAGTAAGTGACGACCATAATAATAATAGTAATAATAATAACAATAATGATGAGTGGTGATATTATTAATAAAAAACCATGATAATAATAATAATAATAACAATAATAATGATGAGTGATAAAAATAGTAATGATAAAAATAATGATAAAAATAATAATGTAGTGATAATAACAAGAATGATAATAATAATGACAACAGTAATAATGATAGTAACAATGATAGTAGTGGTAACAATGATAATAGTAATGCTAATGATAATAGTAATGATAATGATAACAATAATGATAATGATAATAATAATGATAATGATAACAATAATGCAATGATGATGATAATAATAATAATAATAATAATAATAATAATAAATGGTGGTGAGAATAATAGATGATGATGAAAGTAACAATGATAATAATTTTAATAGCAGTAGTAATAATAATAACAATAATATGACTTGCAAATAGGCTATTACTACTGTCAGTTATTATTAATCGTATAAATGAAATTAATCGTAGCAAAATTTTGAGTTTTACCGTAGAATTTAACATGAAAAAAATTCGCTGTTGTTAATGCATTTGAGCACTGATTTGGCAGAAATTTCTAGAATAAAAGTTCGAAAAATTTGAATATTATTCGCTTAGGTGTGAATTTTCTTTTTTTTACAGCCTGAAAAGCAAGCTAAAGGATTGGCGTGCCCAGAAATTATGGTCACTTTTGGAGAAACGTGCGCAACAGAAGGAGTACTGCGGCCAGAAGGCATGCTCACGTCTCAGCGTACTCGTTATTGGAGCTGGTTAGTGAGATTCGCTTTGTACTTTTCTCCAGTTTTCGTCTTTTTGGCACTATTTTTACTCTGTTTATCAACTCTGTGGCCACTGGTGTGATTATGGTGGTTTATATAACTTTTATTTTTAATGTTATCAAAATTTGCTGGCGTTCCTTTTGTCAGTACACTAGCACTATTGTTACTGTTATTACTATTATTATTGTTATTATTATTATTACCATATCATTATTATTATCATTATTATCATTATTGTCGTTGCCACTATTATTATTATTATTATTATTATTATTATTATTATT